ATACAAACCACTCCTGCAAATCATCCCATGGTGCAATGTGTGTACACTGAAGTAAATGTGCTGGACTCCTCACTTTACAGTTCTGTAAATGAGGTACACTTAGAAGTTAGAGATGTTTACTGGGAATAGTTGGAACCTTGGTTGGAATGAGGATGAGGAGGGTAGCAAATATGTGAGCCTTTGGAACAGGCGTGAACTCATATAAACTACCCAAAGTACAAAATTGTCTGATTCCATGATTGTTTACCTATAGGTAAACAATCATGGAATCAGACAATTTTGTACTTTGGGTAGTTTATATGAGTTCACGCCTGTTCCAAAGGCTCACATATTTGCTACCCTCCTCATCCTCATTCCAACCAAGGTTCCAACTATTCCCAGTAAACATCTCTAACTTCTAAGTGTACCTCATTTACAGAACTGTAAAGTGAGGAGTCCAGTACATTTACTTCAGTGTACACACATTGCACCATGGGATGATTTGCAGGAGTGGTTTGTATTGACAGTGAATACCTGAGTGTAAACATTTAGGGAGGTTAGGCCAGGCCCCTCACAATGCAGTGACCCACAGCCTGCATCCTGTTGTATTGTATGGTATGTGGCAGTGAGTAACTACCAAACTAAAGTATGTTCAGTGGAAGTGGGCAGTGTCTGGTTTCAGGTATCCAGTCTCCTCCAAAGGGAAATATCTGACTCAAAGTAATGCTTTTAAGTTACTTATGATTGTCTGAGTAGTCTGAAATTCTCCCATGAGTGCCATTGTGCCAATTTGAAAGTGAATTACTGTTCAGTAGAGGTGGGAGTCAGAGTGGGTGGTGTCAGGTGTGCACTCTTCTCAGGTGTTTCAGAAAGGAAAATCTGACTCAAACTAATGCTTTTCTTACTATGAATCATTAAGATTGTGTGAATAAGCATGATTTTGGAAGGTGTACAATTAGTCTAGGCGATCGGTGCAAAATATGGGTAGAATTGCTCAGTTTGTGATAAAAGCATGAGACTTGGCATGTTGAAGTATGAGTACCTAATTAACATTTTCAGGGGTGGAGCCATTGCAAAAAGTGTGTTACTTAGCAATGGTTGCTAGGCAACTTGTTTTTCCAACAAAACAGTATTATTACCTTCTAATTGTGCCTAAAAACCAAATATATTATGCCAAAATGAGGTGTATTGCTGTATCTGACATCACTTTGTATGTTTAAGTTAGTCTTAAGCCATCTTAAAACAAAC